ATCAAACTAAAATCTTTAAACAATATGTTGAGCTAGCACAGCATAGATCTGATATGATATTTCCTCCTTTTCCTTACTTATTTCCCTTCGATTCCTCATTTTCTAACTTTTCTTCAGCCTTCGTCGGAAAATACGAAACGCAAAAGAACGTGTCACAAAGGTGTCGAATATTAATCACACTCGATTAAAATTTAACTAACTGAACGCTTCTGTTTCAACAGGTCCAGAGTGTCAGAGGATCAAGATCCCATTTCCAGTAGAGGCTGCGTAATCAGATGCCTAAAAAGTGAGTTTCCCACGAGATCCCTTCTATGTCGATCAAAATTTCAACAATTTTTCCAGATGTTTATACTTAACGAACAGACACAAAAAAAGACAGGTTAAATCGACGGATATTAATTTAACAGAATGGTTGAAATTCAACTTCTAACGAAGAAGAAGGGATCCAGATGGAACTCTTATTATTCGGAGGAAAAAACCGAACGAGAAACGAAGAGATGTTTCTTCCTTGTGATGGCGTCGCTCCTCTGGTTCACAGTAAACGAGAAGAAGAAGCAAACATTAATTTAATCGACACACACGGACCCTCTCATTCGCAAAATGCATTGGAAGATAATTTTCATCGTGAATTGCGCCTCTGAACACGTGACTACAATCTCCTAACCTTGTTTTGCTCTCTTGATGTTTCAGAGCAATTAATTTCAATTTCGAAGTACGTTTGATCGAGCATGGCGCTGGATGAGCCTGAATAACCTAACAGCAGTTTTGATTTCGTTCCAAAAATCGTTTTTTTTTCATCTATTTTTATGTAAGGGAAAAACTAGGAAAAAGATTGGAACGATACATCATTTTGCTTTGAAATTTTACCTCTTATGTTGACAATACTTGTGCAGTGGCACAAAAAGGTAATTATTTTTTTCCTTAAATATTGAATGAATTTAAGAAGAATTTGACAATTTTTTGCTTCCTTTCGATATGTTTCTGAAAAATAGGAATTTCTTTTTCCTTTTCCTTTTGTTCTTTTTTCCCCTAGTGATATTGTTTATCTTGGTAGAAAGATGTTCGAGGTTCATCGAGCAGCCATACGTCGCAGTAGGCCATTTCCTCTTATCTACGAATTTAAAAGACTAATTAAAAAAGCAAAGAACAAAGTGCCGCATCGAAATTCCGTTTTTGCCGCCATGTTTTCTTTTTCTATCGGTTTTATAATAAAAAAGATTCCCTAGATTTTTCTTCCCGCGGAATGAAAGCAAAATTCCAATATATCACCATTTTTCGACTTCAAGGAAATTATATCTAAGTCTTGGCTAACAATCAAGGGACTTTGTAAGTGGATGTGCAGGCACTTTTTCTTCACAAAATAGAACCTTTCGTTTTCAAACAGCTTCTGCTCTTGACTTCTTTTTCTAACGTATAGGATTTACGATCTTCCATGGTTAGACAGTCATACTATGGTTAGTCTTGATTCCCAAACGCGTATCAATAACCATTATCTCTTTCCTTCTTCGAAATTTTTCCTCACACGCATTAACCGAAGCAACAAAAGAACTAGCCTATGAATAACCCGAATTGAACGTGAATCATTTCACTGATTGATTTTCGAAATTTTCCAAAAATTAACAAAGTTGAAATTTGCATTATGATTTTAAGAATTGGAAGAATTTCTTGAAAAAAAGGTTGGAAATCGAGGATAATTCATGGTCATTGATACTCGTGCAAGAAACAAGGTGGAAACTCGTCGACCAACGCTGAATAAACGGATATCCGGAACAATGATCATCGCTCGATTTAAATTGAAGCATACAGGGGATGAAGAAGATACTTTTTCGCTAACTATGTTTCTACTTCGTATTGCAGACTCATACCTTCCGTGATCACACCTTCTTTTTCGATTATATCTTTCTTTCGTAAATAAATTTTCCCTAAATCTGCTTAACCTAACCAACAAAACTGTAATTGTAGTAAAAGTTAGAATTGAAAAATACTGTTTATTATTCTTCTTCATCACCAATAGACTTCTAATGGCGACATTACAGGGGTCGGAACTGACAACTGAGAAAATCCTAAGACAGCAGCCTCGATCGTGGATTGATCGACTCTCGATCAGGCCTATAGATCGATCTCGCTCATAGAAAGTATATTTCGTCATATATATATTAACAGACGCATTAATACTTAAAGATAAATATTTAGATCAATCTCTCTCATTCTTTCGTAACATTCTCTCCCACTCTTGCGCTCTCTTTCTCAGTCATTCTTTCTACTTGCAGAGTTTCACGGCTTTACCTTTCTTGCAAAAAGTGCAGACTGATATGTGAAAAGATCACTGATCGATATGTAGATTCGAGAATAGAATAAATGGAGAGACGTAAATTTCTCAGGCTATCCCCTGTAGCTGTCTTTTCGCTTCAATTTCCTCCTATCCCATTGCACTATTCAGTTTTCCAATTTTCCAGCTTTTCCATTACCCAATTTCCTAATTTTCTTTTCAACATTTCGATTACTTAATTTCACCATTTTTTTCCCTTTATTTCCCGACGTTTCCGTTACTCAATGTCCCCACTTTTCCCATTTCTCAACTTTTCCATTACTCAATTTTCCAATTTTCTTTTCAACATTTCGATTACTTAATTTCTCAATTTTTCCCCTTCATTTCTCGACGTGTCCGTTACTCAATTTTCCCACTTTTCCCATTTCTCAACTTTTCCATTACTCAATTTTCCAATTTTCTTTTCAACATTTCGATTACTTAATTTCTCAATTTTTCCCCTTCATTTCTCGACGTGTCCGTTACTCAATTTTCCCACTTTTCCCATTTCTCAACTTTTCTATTACTCAATTTTCCAATTTTCTTTTCAACATTTCGATTACTTAATTTTTCAATTCTTTTTCCTTCATTTCTCGACGTTTCCGTTACTCCATTTCCTCACTTTTTCCATTTCTCAACTTTTTCATTACTCAATTTCCCAATTTTCTTTTCAACATTTCGATTACTTAATTTCACCATTGTTTTTTTCCTTTATTTTCCGACGTTTTCGTTACTTAATTTTCCAACTTTTCCAATTTCTCAACTTTTCCGTTACTCGATTTCCCAATTTTTCTATTTTACGATTCGCATTTTCAATTCACGATATACGTATAACTCGATAGCACGATTTTCTAATTTCCCACAATCCCATATTTTACTTTTGGTTTCCCAATCTTCCTTTTCAATTTGCCTTCGCAACTCAGGGTCTTTTTCTACCCATTTATTTTATTTTATTTTCATTTCACTATATTCCCTTGTTCTCATAGTTTCTTATTTCGTGTTTAAGTCTTATCTTTCATGTTATTTCCCTTTATCTTTTAAACTCAAGTGGTAAATACGATTATTCGAGATATTCCAGGAATAGTTTCTGTTAACCTTAGAAATAAATAAAAATAAGATTATTAATAATATATCCACTAGCAACAATTACAATTCTACTCTAAAACATAAAGCGTTCAATAAATAATAACAATTGAGTGGTCAACAGTCGTTGTAGGAACTTGTCATTATTAGAACTGGACTATTGAACAACATTTACAATTAAACAACTGATGCCAGTTCGTTATGGCGTCTCATAGTAAGAACACGACAGATTTCGGTATTTTCACTAGTTTTAAAATTGTTGTAATTAATTTCCTAAAATTTCAATAATTCATTTCCTCTTTCGATTAATTCTTGCCACCTCTCTGCAATTCACATAAAATCTCGCGATTATGTTTCAGCAGGGAGTCGACGTTCATTAATCGAATATATTCAATGAAAACTTAACTTTCTGTCAAAAATTTGAGTTAAATGTACGAGATAAGCTTAAAATTCCTTTTTTATTATTATATTCGTTTAATACTAAGCTTCTTTCAAGACTGGAAAAGACTAGATTTAGGCAAGATCCAGTTTCTTCAACATTCTTCTTCATTTCTCTGTCATTCTCTGTCACTTCTCCCCTTTGGTTTCCCTTCTTCTCTATATTTCAACTCAGAAACAAAATTCAGTTACCTTCATCTTGCTTCTTCACTGTCCTTTCTCATTTCTCTTACTCTCTTAATCCATCTCGTTCTCTTATATTTCTTAGCAGTTGAAATGCTCTCTTGGAAAACATAAGCTCCACCTTGCACCAAGAAATGGAATTGGTCACTTTCCCTAATCTCGCTACTTCATCCCTGTTTTTCTTCCTCATGATCCCATCTCACAGCTCTACCTCTCTCACTCTCTCACTCTATCAGACTCTCCCGCTCTCTCTCTCTCGCTTTTATACAACTAGGATAATAAATATTGCCGCGAAAATTATTTGCTACATTCGTCCCAAACAGTAGTCAACAAGTTCGCCCATCGGAGACTCGCGGTTCCGCCATTTTATTTCTGCATTTTACATTTTCAGTTTTACTCGTTCTATAATCCAAGATTTCCCTCGAATGATTACAGGTGAATCATGCTCGACGATCGATTAGGATGGTTTAGAAATTGACGTTTTTCAATGTGGAGAAATGAAATTAGTAAGGGAAGCTCAGAATTTCGAAGCAGTACATCCTGCTCAACCGTCGAGCACTTGGTGATACATTTTTCAGTGCAGCAATGAAAGTTCCGAATTTTTCCCCTAGAAAAACGAACAGTAAAAGAACGAATGAAATTTCCTCGATAATTCTTCACAGAAGAAAATGATAATTACATTCTACCTTAAGAAAAGCATATTCTAAGTAAAAAATATCATGAAAGAATCTTTTGCTCCTTAACTCTAACGAAGTGAAATACACAGTCATAACTCCTCCATAAATCTCAACGTAATCTAGCCAATAAAATCTCGAGGAGACAATCATCGAACTTATCCGTGTTAAATAGCGACTAAATATATAATTCTAATCATACGAAATCATATATCCCAAACGAATAGCCCATTCGGGCGATCCCATGACTGTTCAATTATATTCCCCATAACTTCTCAAAGGCCATTGTCCACCGCGAGCTCCGAAAGGGTCGTTTTTTTTACGCCGGTGAACGCTCGACGCCAGTCAGGCTCGCACAATAATTTATCTTGATATTTTCAAATATATATATTTATAACGGCGCCGGAAGTTGCTCAATCGTCCCAAGTGGGGAAGCTCTCCTGGTCAACGAATAGCGATGATTGGCCAGTGGTTACCGGCCTCTGGCTTGGTGTCCCACCGAAGTTCGTGCTGCCGAACACCGGCTGTCCAAATGCATCCAGCTGCTGGCCCTCGTAGATGCTACGATCGGTTGTCGCATGTGACGCCGGATGCTGTGGCTGCTGCTGTTGCTGCTGTTTTGGCTGCTTCTGCTGTTTCTGCTGTTTCTGCATGTCTGTCACTGTCAACTCGATGTTCCCGGCCGACACTGTCTCCTCTACGTTCTCCGAGGTGTTTCCCTCTTCCAAGCTACTATGCTTGATGCCATAGTAGAAGTACATGAGTGAACCTATGGTTGGGATAATGCAGGTTATTTAATTGACTTGTACCTGCAAGAGCAATGCTTTGTCCATTGATTATTATAATCGGTAAATGTAATTGTTACTAGACTTGGGCAACGCGACAACGGAATGTACAGTGAGTAAAGAGGATCATTTATAGGTTAGGTTTACCGAGAATCATCCACACAACTAATCTGACGAGAATCAGGATGCTCAGCTTGAAGATGAGGTATATGTTGACGGTAACGGCAATCGCAGGTACGAATGGCAGTCCTGGTGTCATGAACACCAAGCTATTCCTGAGAAAGATCGCATTTTATAAGTGGATGAGATTTGGAAAACGGAGGTATGCGTATATTTCAATTTACCTATTTTGTGGCTTTCTACTGATGGCAAGCAATACTCCAATTATGGCAAAGAGAAAGACGAACATTACTATCGTGGTAAATGTTCCCATGTTCCCTGAAACGAATAATCGGTATTGCTATTAATATCGATGGACTTTTGCAGGTTTAAGGAAGACGAAAGATGAAAGATTTATTTTTCTAGGGCTCACCCATGCCGCAAACTATAATTAAATCGAGGATAACGATCAACAAATACAGCACAATCACTAATTTCATTACGTAGCGACCTGATGCTTCCGTAGCTGGACCTCTGTCCACCCAAGGGAAGATAGCAGGACAGAGATACTGTGCTGCCTAAAATGATCAAAAAGTATATAATACTAAGTGCTACTAAAATATCGTGGTGTATGAGCCCAGATAATTCCTAAAATCTGTACCTGTAATCGACGTTGGAGGTAATTCAAAGGTGGCCCTATTATTGGGGTATTTCCTGGGTATTGGTGTGCACTGCCACAACTGGATGCAGCTGCAGCTGCATGTACACTACCATAGAATTTATTCTCAGTTCTATCACTAACTAAATACTGATCATCTTTACCCAGACCAACTTCATCCTCCTCTGCACCATATGTATCATCTGAGTCTGGTGAAGAACTATTGCATCTTCTTACTCGTCTCACCTGAACAATGAGCAATTAGTGCTTTATTATATCAATACCTTTATTTTTCTCATGCAGTAGTCAGTAATTTACCATAATACGTTGGCCACTATTTGCTGCAGTGAGCTCCGACTGTGTAGCCTGGACAGAATTCAAAGCAGTGGTCAGCTGATCAGGTTTCAGCTCTTTTCCATAGGTCACCTGACCATTTCCCTGATTGTCCTTAGTCGGTGACCGGCATGGGGTTCTTAAACTTTGCGGTAGTAACTCTACCAGGTTCGTAGTATGAGGTTGATAGCGTAGAATCAGTACACAAGTAGATACCAGGGTGTAAGCTAATAGGGTACCTAAAAATTCCAAGTAGAAGAAAGTTTCCCGACTGTTTCTTGCTGCCTTTCGAGAGCATCAGGAACTTCGGTATTTAAAAAAGAGAAAAAACGTATGCTTAAAGAACTTACCAATAGACATCATCTCTACTAACACCTCTAACTGAATGAACAGTGCAGCTAATGCTGCACACATACCAGAAGTCAGTGTTGCTATAGCCGGGGTACCTGTTGCTGGCCACACTTGGCTCAGACTCCTAAGTAATCACGCAGAAACACACAGTTAATGACTGCAAGTGTTTAAGGTTATGGAATGGGAATTAATCAAAGCTTATTGAAAATGATGCTACAGGAATTCACCTGAATATAAGGCCATCCTGGGCCATGGCATAAACTATCCTAGGCATGGGGAACATGCTGCCAAACATAGAAACCGTCAAGCCAGCCAAAGCACCAACTGCCACGATATATTTGCACTTGTAAGCTCCAACTTGACCGAACATTTTCACCAGCGCTGAATCTTGGGCTACCTCGTCGTATGGAACTAGAAAAAGAAGAATTTTATCAGTTCTGCATTTCTTTCTACTTGCTTTTTTCTTCCTCTGCCTGGTTTTTAACAACTTTTTAAGAGCCTATTTAAAGATCCAAGTATTTATGAGATTATTTAATTGGCTAGAAGCGTATTATCTAGAAGCGCAACGAACCATATCTGTGACGATATTAAGCGAAGGATCTTGTGACGTTGAAGGGTGATCAGAGATGCGTGAAGGGAGGTCAAGGATGGCCAAGGGCCTTTTAGTCAACAAGTGACGGAGTTGAAGCGAGTAATCAGTGGAAATGCCACCAATTACCTGTTAATAATTAAACTAGCTGTATCAAATATTAACCATTCGTTACGAAACATTCGTAGGCTGAAATTCTCATCGTCTTTTAATTTTAACAATCGTTTTATTCGTTTTAAATCTGTACAAAACGCAGATATTCAAAAATCAGATATTCAAATTACCAGGACATTTAATCTCCATTTCACAAATCAAACCCTCCTATTCCCCCTTCTGTAGTCTTTATTTAATTTCAACCACAGGCGAGGTACTCACCAATCAGTGTCAGCATCATACTGCTGGTGACGTAAGCGATGAGTATTATGATCAGTGAAGAGACTATAGCGAGGGGGATGCTTCTCTTTGGGTTTGTCGCCTCTTCGCCGGTTGTCGCTATTATGTCGAAGCCGATGAACGCGTAAAAACACGTCGCTGCACCGGTGAACACCTAGAATAATGCAGGATATTTTTAGTTTAAATTCTATAGAGCTAGCTGCAAAAAGACCCGTTAATATCTAGAAGCCTAGTTTTAAATGCTGAGCAATCCGAGGTCCGATGTTTGTTTATTGTACGCTTCGTATATTATAGTTAAACTTCGTTATTGTCCCGGACACGAGGCGTCGTTCAAAAGCCTAATTTAGGAAATTCTTTCAGGACTTAGGATTCGGCTAACGATGGGCCACAAGACGTCGGGACCAGGCCGCGTGAGTTGGCTTCGAGCGACCCCGACCTTCTCTGTCATAAACCGAGGGTGAGGCAGTCGTAGTCACCTCTCGTGAAGGGTCACCATGAGGGCCTCACTTTGAAGGAGGATTCTCTTTCACCGACTTTGACATAAAGGAAATTATGAGTATTTCGTATCACTAAATTGAAAATTTTGCGCAGAATATCCTGAAAGAATCGTACGCTTCTGAACGTAGAATCTATTTACGGAATATTCTGAAGTAACTCCATGTCTTCAAACTAGGTACATATCTTCAAAATTTTCCTAAAGGAGTGTTAAACCGGATGAACAAGGTAACAAACAATGTTGTTCAAATTTACCTTATCATTTCTTGTTTTATCCAAGTATTCGAACCAAAGGTTTTAGGTAACAGAAGAACCAATTAGTTGGAAATTTACTTGGTAAGAAATTTATAGCTACGATATTTAACATCAACCTGAGAAGATTACAATTTAAATTTTTAAAAAGAATTATTGTAGAGAAGGTAAGCTATAGAATCGGAATAATCGGTGTTGAGTTAAGTAAGTTAGGCTTGCAATATCAAGGGATATTTAGTTACTTCCAAGAAGCATTAAAATCTCTAGAATCCGCAGCAGCAAGAGTGGAAATCAGCAAATTAGATTCCCGAGTTAATAAAAACGTTCTTTGAGAACTCCTTGGAGTTTTCCAGCCGTCTTTCATCGCCAATGGTCGCGGCCCATTTAATTTTTCAAGATCCCTTAACGTCGTTATGAATTCCTGATGCCTGCGGCTTGAACGAGAGTGGGCAAAATTGAAAACATAATGCAATCTCATTGGAAACAGGACCAGAGGGTCGCCCATGATCCCCGTTCCTGTGTAAGCCGCAAACTGAAATAACCTTACGGCCGAAGATGCGAGATTAAAGTCACCGTTACCAACTGGTCCACCGCGGAAATACCTACAAAACCCCGAAAGTGTGTTTTACATGAATCTTTCACGTATTCTCCGAATTCATGCTAGCGAGGAGAGCAGCGGGAGAATAAAAATAGACGTAAATCTAATTCAAGTGACACGCCCAACAGAGTTCAACGATAAGGAGACAGCCAAGTTGAAATTTTAACGAGTCCTAGAGGGCAAGATTACTCTGAAAAGAAACATCTCATGAATGTTTGAGACTGCCGTCTGACCCTGTAGTATTTCGCCCCCGCGGTTCACAAACGCCCCCACACTCAGCGTTTCGCCCACGCAAACCTCCAAGTGGAAACCCCTGACCAGAGGATGCGTTTGCTCGTTAAAAAGACGCGGGTAACTGGATTAAAACACGAACACGCCCCTCCAACCCCTTCTATCTCATCTTCCTATCTGTCTTTGTTTTATTTCAGCAATTTGTACTTTGCACGTGGTACTAAACGCGGAAATTTTGTGATGTCAAGGCCTTTGAAGGATACTACAGTTTCACGCGGCACGCTAATTGGAGTCTAATATTGGTTGAAAGACGCCGTGAAAAATTTGGATCATTTCCTCTGCAATAATTTGTACATAGTCTATCAAATCTGCTTTCGTCGGAAAATTTTATTATCGACTTTCGAGTTTCTACGGGTAAGTATACTAATGTGTTTTAATATTTGGAAATGTTTTATCAATGTTATATCAGTGCTTCCATCCTCAACTTAAAGATTTTGTGTACTATACTTAATGAATGTTTTATTTTTCACATTGACGATTACAGATTTAGGAAATGATATTTCATACTAAATTGTGCAAAGTGTGGTCAAAAGTACTACGTACAGGAATAGAAGATAAATACTTAATATATACAGGATGTCCCAGCAACGGTAGTACAACCAGGAAGTGAGTGATTCTACATCAAGAAACAAATTCGAAAATAAAGAATAAAATTTTTTCATTCGAAGCTCCATTGTCGAGAAAATAGATTTTGAATATTCACCGAGTGCGCGTGCACTTAACTTTGACTAAGGCGGATCCATCAATATATCAGCGTAGTCGGTGAATATTCAAAGTCGATATTCTCGACAACGAAGCTTCGAATAAAAAAATTTTATTCTTTATTTTCGATTTGTTTTTTTCATGTAGAATCACACCCTCCTCGGTTGTACCACCGATACTTATACATTGATGATCTATCCGTATAAGCCATAGCTAAATGCATGCACACTCGGTAAATAATCAATGTCGATTTTCTCGGAAACGAAGCTTCGAAAAAAAAATTTTATTCTTTATTTTCGATTGGTTTTGTCACATAGAGTACCCCCCTCTTCGATTGTACTACCGTTACTGGGACATCCTGTATATATATATAAATTGAAAACATTAACTGCAATGTTTTTATGTAGTTCTTAATTGTCAAGATAATCAATTTCAAAAATCTATTTCAAACGTATGTTTTATAATTAAAAAATACGATTCATCAAGCGATACTATAATGCTTATCATCTCAGTGTACCATGTCTGTGAGACTTTCACAAGTTATTAAGTTCAAGGTAGTATAAAGCAATGTACATCCAAGATACTTCCTCTAATCGATTAAAAAATAGTTGCAACTCTATGTACACGTACATATGTCCGTCTAATTACTCCTGCATATAACAGTATTTCTTAATACGGTTTTGCTTCTTAATTTCACGAATACATAATTAATATTGTAGGATATTTTTAGGCATTGTTAGGACACGATGGTCGAAGTGCTCCTGTAAGGGTTGTCTTATAGTTCATCTGTAGTTCGTGTTGAGCAAGAATTCATACTGACTCTAATCCAGTCCCTAGTCTGCAGTGAATTTTAGAATAGATATTTTCAATAACTTCTCAGAAAATCGTGCAGACGTTATACATAGAAACAATATACATCATAAAATATATACCGATCATGGTAATATGTACTGCTTGTACATAACTTTCCACCCCCTTCCCTGGTGTATTTTTATAATATATATCGTATTTATTTTGTCACTGTCATCCCTATTTTATTATAACCAAAACTTCATCGTTTTCGTGAATAAACCAACGAAGAGTTCTTATGTTGGATTAAAAGACAGAATCACAGTGTGAAGTAATTACGCGAAATGACAAATTGGGATATTGAGACGCGATAACAAGGGCTACCAGCATCCTTCCACCCTCTAAAGAACAAGCGAAAGACCGCTTGCAAAGGCCCGGAATTCTTCCCAGCCCTATGAACTGCTTCCAACAGTGCCCTACAATCTCTTTTGACTCGCCTGGTCACACTACCCCCATCCCCCTCCCTCCAACAGCAGAGGTTGAAGGATTGTAATTCCCCAGAAAGAGAGTCTCTACCTCGTTAAAGAATCGCGATTTGTCGGGATTATTATTCGGGGTTAATGGGAGTGGTCCAAGTGGTCGTTGACCTACAGCGGACTCCACCATCCCCAATTTTATTTCCAAGAGGCCAGCCCAATTGCAAGTGGAATCGCGATGAAAATTATCGTGGAAACAATAAGAAACTCCGCGACGAAGATTACGCGATAAAATTAATGAAAATTCCGAGATCAGGCCGTTCCCATAAGGCGTGGTTAGGGGAGCTGGAGGTGGTTTAACGCACGCATTAATATTAAAGCAGAGGTTTACACGAGCAGTCCACTGCGACCTCTCCAACGGTTTCGAGAGCGGGGGTTGAAACCTTTTTACACGAGGGAATGAGGTCGGTAAAGATTCAAAAGCAACCCCCGGGAAGCCCACGTGGTCTGCTAAGGTCAAATAAAAGGAACATTTCTGAGGAAATTAAAGCAGTTAAAATCTTCAAGGATTAGAAAGCTCTTTTAAGGTGGTTGATTTCTTTCAATGGGTAAATAACGATTTAGAAAAGCAAAGCGGTTGGATAAAGAGTCCGCCTACAAACCCTGGAGAGAAGTGTATGGAAACGGAGGTAAAAATAGAAATAAATTACTCCACATTCTGTACTGAAATTTGTTTTAAATCGTATCGGGTACTGCCCCACATTCGCGAATTCTATATGTTTTTTCAGGTTTCGAATTACTGAAATTTTTCAGTGTTCCTGTGAATATTATTGAATCAGGTCAACAGAAAGTTCGTGTCCGAAAGGGGACGTTTTTAATGGGGCGCGCTCTCTCTCTCTCTCGAGGACGGAAATATTCATCACGGATCGTCGATAAACACGTGTCGATGGTTGCTACGGGGGTTGAAAACGGAAAGTATCGGGTGTATAAATTCCAGGATACCCGGGAAGTTTTGTCTCTTGATTAATAATTCACGACCGTTCGAAACTTTGCATCGGGAACGATCGGGAATAAATATAAATTATATTTTAATATGGGAGATGGAAGTAAGAACGAAAGTAAAATAAAAAATAATAAAACGAGAACATTAAAACCATGGCCGTCGTAGATATTCTGTTTGTTCTTCCTTTCAGCGGGATGAATATTTCAATATTTGTCCGTTCTTACTCTCCGGCGACATTCGAACGTTTGCAACCCTTCGTTCTGAACAAACTACACTGTACTTGCGGAATATTTAATATCTTGAATATCCTTCTGTCGTTTGCTCATACCGCTTTAGCTTCTTCTCCGCGTACACCCTTCGTCCATTGCTGTGTAAAAATACCACGTGACTTTTATATTTCGGAATGGTTGTTTCGCAAAATAATTTACCGACGAATAAAATTTACATAATGTTTACTCTCGAAAATATAATACAGTTGGGGAAGGAGAATGAATTTGGAATAATTTTGAACGAAGCAGGTAGCAAGCAGGTGGTTTCAGTTTGATTTAGGCGAGTAAGGTTTGAAAATGAAAATATATGATGATAAGGTAAAGCAAACTTTGTAGTGCATATAATTAGTGAACAGGTGGCTGGGAAACAAGAAGACACCCCAGGGGCTACAAGTTGATCCTTCCGATTGGTTGAGTGTCACTGTTCAACTGTACATATAAAATGCATTTTGCATATTTCTTTCTCATTCTCTTTTTCTTTCCACAAAACGAGTCATATTCGAGATCTCCTAACCAGGTTTAGACGGTACCCTAGTTATCAAATGACTTAGCACACGTTCAAGACTCGGTGAATAGAGTTATGTTCCACCCTATGTCCACTTTTCACCTGTAGACAGACGGTTCCCTTCGAGGATTCAAGTGACGCCTCTAGGTACTTGTATTTTCTATAAATAAAAGTAGACGTCTTCGTCGCAGATGATAGACTTCTGAGGGTCTTCTTCCACCATGGTTTATGGTGGTTGTTCGATTGCTACTAGGTAGCGTTGGAGGGGATGAACGGAGAAAGGAAGGGATAGGGACTCTACACCATGGTTTATGGTGATTGTTCGATTGCTACTAGGTAGCGTTGGAGGGGATGAACGGAGAAAGGAAGGGATAGGGACTCTGCTAGGGGACTCATCGGTAAGGCCATCAAGCAGACTCTGCCTTAGATTGGGATACCGTTGAAAAGTCTGGAAATTCTATATATAGGAAGTGAAGGGTTTGTGGAGGACTTGTGAGAAAATTCTCGAATCCCCTCGAACCTGGAATCCATCTAGTAGTGAGGGTAAGAATGATGACATCACAGACTGCACTTTCAATAGTTTATCGTCACTTCTCTCTCCTTTCTTCCCGAAAGAGTCTTCGTCTTCGTCTTCAGATCCTCCTATTACCCATAACGTCGCTAGTTCGTGACAGACTCCGATCGAAAGTTGTATCTTTTTATCAACGAATTTATAAGAATTTCATAATTTTGCAAAGAATTTCTGGAAAAATCGAACAATCTGTAAGGATGTTCTTTGTTATAAAAATTATTTGTTAGAAAGAAAGGGGATGGAAAAATGAGATTCACTGTTTCGGTGAAATATATTAGCCAAGAAATTTTTTTGTAAAAATACTTTTTATCAAGCAGCAAAAAAAGTTGCTTTTAATATATATTTCACTGTGTGTGAAAAATAAAGTGAATTTTATTTTTATCACTTTCCCTGCTTTCAAGACGTCATAACTACTTGATTTAGTCAGAAACATTAATAATATATGTTATAATATTGTATTATAGTATTATTAGTATTAATGCATAATATCTAAATGTAAATCCTCTGACTTCTAATTTCGTAATATTAATAAAAGGTAATGTGTACATTTATAATTCTATCATAACTGTAACAATGGACTGCATTGTTCAGACTGGTTAAGAACTTCGTTTATATTCAACGCGATATTTGTTTCTCGAAATAAATGTAGAATTTTCGAAGAAAGAATAATGGAACTAGTAGATTATTAAAAACTAAATATATCAGAAATAAATATCCATAATACGTATATTTATTTATCGCATTTGTTACTGTCTCGCGTGTTCAAAAATCAAAGAATTCGTAATTTTTGTGTATTTCTCGGACATCAAACAAAGGATTACAGATCACTCTCGAGAAACTGGTATTAAATGAGCAACATGCTATTGAAACCTAAACAATTCCCTTCCTGACCCAATTCGATTGTATCTCCGTGAGTCATACATCTTTTGGTGAGTTTAGATTCTTGCGAACCGTGAATCGAAAGTCTCTTTTCTCGTTGTCCATCTCATGCATCGCTTAGTTTCACCGTTGAAACCCGTTTGACGCAACAAGTTTGCCATTGTTTCGTGCACGGTGAGCGAAAAGCCGCCGGAAATGAACCGGCAAGTCGGTTTCCTTTTAAATACGACATGTTTGCCGACTTCTTTTACATTTTTCGTCGAGAGTTCCTCATTGTTTTTACGCAAAATCTTTGAATTGTCGGAACATCATCGAGGTTATGTTACATTTTTAGGTTATGTTTGTCTTTGGAACGTTCATAACGGAATAATAGTTGCTAGTATTAGAAGAATTTTAAGCGAATTCGATAGGATTAAATTACAATTAAAGCAGTTCAATTCTACATTCTATATTTTAATATTCCCTAAAATTCTAGAAGCTTGGAGAAGTATAATTCAATCGTTTAGATTAAAACTTGTAAGATAGGTTTGAAATAAATTTATATCAGGTTTAAATTAGGTTTCATTTGAGTTATCTGGAGCTCGCAATCGGTATGGATTTTTTAACTAGGTTATGTTTGATCAAGTTGGAGTAGGTTTGAAATAGATTTGGATTAAATGTGGATTAGACTAGGTTAGGTCGTGTTAAATTAAGATTAAGCTTTTGCTTAGTCTGTGTTACGTTTTTACTAGATTTGGGCTAGAATTGTTATTTATTGTATGTACGATTATGTTACTTTGAGTTTAGGCTGGGTTAGGTTAGATTAAAGGGAGTTAAATTAAATGTGGATTAGACTAGGCTAGATCATGTTAAATTGAGATTAAGCTTTTGCTAAGTCTGAGTTACATTTATATTAGACTTCAGCTAAATTTGTTATTTATTATGATATGTATGATTATGTTACTTTGAGTTTGGGTTGGGTTTGTATCAGATTATTTTGGGTTTGTATTAGGTTAGGTTCAATCGAAATCTTATACCGCGAGTATATTCGTGACATAGACGTATCGGTGACACGCCGTATCAATGTTCAGAAGATATCGAGCCTTTTGTAATACTTACACCACTCCAGTCATAGGGAACGCCGTCATGATGAACACCCACACGGCAAGATTGATGGCGTTTAATACGTTATTGAACACCAGAGATTTCTTCACACCCGCGGCCATTAGCAACATCATTAGTATGGTGATGACGAACGCGAGAAAATCAGGTGGTCGACCTTGAACACAACAGATTTATCTTATTAATTACTTCTGAACTCTGCACCTTTTGTATGATAAATTATCGACAGATTTTTTCCTAGCCGTACCTTTTTATATATTTATACATTCTCGTGAACATAAATTATTGAGAAGACAAAAATCGTTATGTGTTCGGTACTGAGATCTTCCTTCACGTTTATTAATTCTTCGATGCTTATTAATGTCGGGATAGAGATGATAGAAAAGCACCTTGCTAATTAACGAAACCTAATTTTCGCCATCCACTAACGAGACCAGCGACACTGAATTTATCGGGCTGTTTTCGATTCACTTCATCCTCGTAGTCATTTTCAATACCCCGAGGTTCCACCGAATTACCATTTTTAATAATATTTTTTTTCCCCGAAATTTTTCAAAATTTTTTAAAAACCAGTCTTGAAAAACCAGAATTTAAATTATGCGAAAAAAGTAACAAATACGTCGTTTAACAATACTTCAGTACCTTTAATTTAATATTAAATTTAAATTATACGAAAAAAGTAATAAATACATCGTTTTACGATACTTCAATACCTGCAATTTAATACTTAATTTTAATTTGAATACTTTCATGATGCATGAAAAAGGGAAGAGCATTAGAGACATAATTTTCCGTGAATGGGAGGTATAAGAAGTCGCAGCAATGAAAACGTCAGTGGGATATTAATTTCCGGTATGACGGCATTAATACTGAATTATTTCCTTTACATGTCCTTCGGCATCAGGATTTCACACAGGAAATCAATTTCTGCATTTCAATCCTCTAATTTTTTTGCTCCTCGCAACGATTAACTGCCTTTTGTTTTCGTTGACTGTTTTATTTATCTGAATTCTATCTCTGTACTCCCTTGTCAGTTTTGCATCCATTCCTCGGATGAATTTTATTGAGTTCCATTTCGTGTTAGTTCCATCGAGATGTCTACTTTGGTTCGCTCTATCTTTTCTCTCTCTTTTATTTCTTTTCCCCTTTTTTTATTTCCATAGCAATTGAAATGTTGTGACGACCTATAAATGGAGGTGTATTCGTTCTGCTAGAACGAGAGAAGGAAAAATCGTTTTTTTCCACGACGAATAAATCCTCTTTCGAGCCAATATCAAAACTAACTGTTCATTTGCTTCGTCTTGTAAGTCATTTTAGATATTTCAAACGTACTACATTTTCGTTGTAGAAATGATCAATTAAATTCCATATTTTATGCTATTATAATATACAATATAATAATATACATCGTTAAAAATATTTTAGAAAACAAGTTACGTAATAGGTAAAAAATTGTTCAAAGATGGCGACAAATTAATTCCTTCTCTCCTAATATTCACGTTATTATCTCAAATTCTTTTAATCAGTATATTCAGTAACTTGTTAGAAGCTAGTATAAGAAGCTTAGTTGAATTTGCTTTTTGAAAAATATGATTTTAAAGTTTGAATTACAACCGGGGTTAGCATAACCTAACTTTAATCCCAACTTAGGGTATGTCATTAATTTTTAACGATATCCTTAGAAATTAATAGAGACCCCTCTATAGATATAATTCCAGGAATCTACGTTAGCGCGGTGCTAAATGCTCGGTTAAATTTAGAACCAGAACCTAACCTCAAAGAAAGATGGGAAGCGTAAAAAAATGCAAGGATGGAGTGAATCAATGGGTCTTTGATGGGTTATCAAAGAGTAATCCTCTCGAATTTCTCCAAAATCGAGCCACAATTTACGTTTTTCCTACGTCCATCTTACTCAGGCCCCCTTTAAGGCGTGTTCCCATGAATATTAAGTTTGAACAGCGTGTACGCGTTGAATACGTGAATCACGGAGCGTCCTATGTGTCTCTCGTTGGATAGAGAGAGGAAGTAGGGGCGTGAAGAGGCGTTGAGGGAGGAAGGGATTCCGGAGGATAACAAAAGGGGGTGCGAGAGGGGCGCTTGCGCGGATCAAGTCTAGCAAATATGGACCTCATCGATCCGAAACGAAGCCGAGCACTTCGATGCTCTTTAACCTGCCCACCTGAACCCATTTCCTCTATTCTTATTCCTTCATCCGCCGGATTCTTCGTCTTCCTCTTTATTGTGAACCAATCCTTTGATCCCAAATCTCTAATACTTCTGTTAGCAGACCTGATTTTCAACTCCACTATTCCCTTAGACATTTCTTTACAGGTTCCTTTAAGCATAGGTTTGCATAATCAGGTTAGAGGTGCTGGGAATTTTTTCCTTCGAAGTCTATATTCGGTCATGTCGCGTGATAGGTTCGTTTTAAAAGAGATTTGAAAAAAGATGTCCGAGAACGCAGAATCTAACTCGATGGGACGTAACCTATGAGATACTTTGTCAAATGGTCGAAGAAGGAAAGGCGAGGCAAATAAGTTGCCACTTCTTCTTTTGTCTCCCAGTCGGTCCCTCGAGTATGACTCAGCTGCAAAGTGCATAGGAAGCGAAGTGTGTACGTGGAGCATCCGAATAATGGCGGACGCACACTTCGCGGGGAAAAATGGAGGGAGATAAGGAAACCTGGCTGAATCGTTACCATCCCCTGCGGCGATGAAATGGCAAAGGTGAGGACGTTAAGGAAACGCTTTCAAGGATCACGAGTAGGGACCCTTTGCCAACCAACCGGAAAAATATACAAGATATCGCGTTTTCATGTTTTTACTCAATTTTTCTTTGCTTCGGTTAAGGTGGTGCTTTTTCCAACGATCCGGCACGTTTTTAGATACTCTGACCGGAACATCGTGGAAAAGTTAAAATAACGTCGTTTCGGTCGAACATAACCTAAATATTGGAGCAAACGAAACGCAAACGATATGTGATATGTTCAAATACTCTTAGATCATGAAGAATAATTGGAATGGGAAATTGTGGAGACATTTAAATAATACGTTTAACAAGTCGAAGTGCATAGGAATTGGAAAGAAGGGATATAAAATTTGCAGTAATTCTCGCATCAAAAAGTAACTACATATTCCCTAAAAATATTGAACAACGTTTTCTCTGGAGAATATAATCGAAAGGTTAAAATTGGTGGAAATTGGATACTTGTATGCTGAAAAATACCAATAATGGGAAATTTGTTTGAGCAATAGAAAATCTGAATGTTCAATATTTACCAATTATTTAAATCAGTCGCTTAAAATGCGCATATCTAAAGTGAAGACTAGTTACCTTTGTTTTATTGAAGATTCTCGATAATTCTAATTGGAACAAGGGATGTCGAAAGGATTTTCATTATGATCAAGTCGGATTATATTAGATTGAAAACAATTTAGTTTATATATAGGTTAGGTTCGAATTAAATTAAGCAAAATGTAGATTAGGATTAAACTGTACTAAATAGATTAAGTTCGCGTTAACCTTAAATTCCCAAAACCTTAGTTCGCCGTTATTGCAGTTAACCTAACCTAACTTTTCGTAAAGCTTCAATTTACAGGCCAGTGAAACCATCATGTTAGCACGTAGTACAAATGAAAATTTACAGGAATACGAGAATTTTACTAATTCCAAGTCCTGTTGCTCTTCAGCAATGAAACCAACCCTCGACGATTAAAACACACTAAGACGTGCCCTATCGCGGAATCATACGTTCTCGTGACTCGTTAAGCTTTTCTGTGTTAAAACGATGCAGGGTGAAATGCAACGAGGAATTTTATCGTTTACTAGGCAAAATTTTCTTGGCTCTTGTGCATTCGAGAGACCGAGATTTATAATCGTGTCGCTGAAGAACCATCCGTTCTCCGTACGATGCAGATTTATTAGAAAAAGTTCTAGCTGTACATTTCGAATATAATTATTTTCCATTAATTTTTACAATTTGGAAAAAATAAATATTATTATACCACCATTTCGAAAAATATAAAAGGACAATGAATTGTTACCCTCTTCTAATTTTTACCGGGAAAAGTTTCTTCTTTTCCCTAGAAAAAATTCCCTAAATATAAAGTTCGAGTATATTCTTCTTTTATACAAAAAAAGGAAAATATAAAAAATTGAAAGAACGCTATTTGTTTTCACTTTTTGGCCTGTAAAGCAGTATTAGTCGTAAGTAACTAATTATGGAGTAAACAAATAAATTAAGAAGAGTAAAACGTGAACCTTCGAACGTGGAAAGTATGAGAGTTTCCATTTCGTCGGATGCTTTGACAAGAAAATCCGTACTTGAAGAAACAGTAAGAGCAATTCGCGCGACGATTAAGTTAATATAACATCGAAGTTCACCTCTCATGGTATTCTACACCGCGGGTACTGTAGAATTAACGATATAAAAACTGCGTTGCAAATTTAAAACCGGCCAAAGTATGTGGAAGAGC